TACGGCATTCCGTTGTGTATAAGGTCACCTCAGAACAGAACACAGAATCCAACCGGAATGTCCACGACGCGCGCCTTGGAGTAATCTCTCGCAGAAAAGCAACCAGCATAGATGCGAAGCTTCGTGCCGGGCTCCAAATCAAAAATCATGCTGGCTGGAGCACCATCCGGGCGAAGGTTACGGGCTCTCACCGTTAGGGCGTAAGTCTTTAAGTATCAGCTCAATCCGGTGACGAAGATGCAGTCGTGTATAGGTTCATTTCCTAAAGAAATCGGACGATGGAAGGCGAGCGTGCTGAAGAACGAAGGGCAAGACGATGTGCTCAGCAACGCGTCCGACGCGCGCGCCAGCGTGAAACCTCCGCTGCTACTCAGGAGCAATCAGTAGCTATAAGGACCGAAGAATACGGATAAGAAGAAACACTTAGCAACGCTTGCGACGTATCCTGCAGCGCGAGTCTCGCGCTGCCGTTGAAGAATCAACTACGGCGAGTACTTTGCGAGCGAGACGAAGACATCAGCAGCAAGTACGGCGTGCGCAACGACTTCAGGAACCGCTCGACGCAGAAGAGCGGGCCGAGCAAGAGAGGCAAGTGCGCCAGGAGTTATGTAATCGGCGACGAGAGATAGAGGGTGATTTGGTGCGTGAACTTAGTGAGGGAATACTCACTGTGTCTTCGCTGACTAACGACGATATCCAATGGTTGGCTAAAGGGCAACGGTATTTGAAGGACCCGCGTTTGGTTTTGGCTTATTATTATTGTTGTGGTGTCGATCCTGGGTCTTTCGTGCATGGAGACAAAACGCTGTGTGATGACGAAGGACAGACCACTCGAGAGCGGATTTCATTGATGTTTGATGATTGTCCAAAGGCGGCAGACATCGCCGAATGCCAGCGTTGGTGGCGGCGAAGCGCGCTGAAGCGACTTCGGTTTGGGCTTGCGCGGCCTGTGGGCGAATACTGCTTCACACTGATTCTGACAAGATATTCTTTGAGCTAGTTAAATTAGATTTTTCCCTTTCAGTAACTTGCCCGGTGGTAAAGTTACTGAAACTGTGTAGTCTACTTGAACCCATCAATCGGTAATCGTCTACACTCAGTCGAATCGTTTCTCTTCTTTCATACAAAGCACCTCTCCACTTTTTTTCTGACATATTTTGTCCATCCGCACAATATGCTCGCCTGCTCCTGTTGTCATTCGACAATTTTCGCTTGTCTGCACAGCTATGGTGACTCCTCGTCCATGTGATCGAGAAACTCTCGAGACCAAGCCGCCTACAGCAGTCCGTGATCCAGCTTTGGTGACTCCTCCAAGTAAGACTTCTCGTGCCGCGGTTAGTGAAGTCGCAGTGGGAACGGCAGAAGTGAAAACGGCAGTTGGTCTACCCCTTTGTGATCGGAAAACGCTCAAGACCAAACTTGCAGTAGGAACGGTCCGTGATCCAGGCCTCGCGATGATCTCTACCACAGCTTCGAAACAATCTCCTCCAAATTCCGGACTCGCGACAGCTTCGCAAGTGACGGAGAATAACCAAAAGATGTCGCCCACTGTCAAGGGCTCTTGCCCTCAAATAATTGTGGACGCGCGACTAGGAGTCTGCTCGGTATCTGAACAAGATGGTGCCGTTTGTGATTTTGCCGATAATACCCCCCAAACTTCAGTCAGCAGCGCGCAGACTGGTGTTGAATCTGCGCGCATCTATCCTCTTCAGGACTTAAAGCCCAGCACACCTTCTCCGTGGGCGTTTATCGCGCGTGTGATAGCAAGAAATCCCGTGCGTGAATGGGAAAAGCTGGCAAAATAATGGTACATTGCTTGAAGTTTTCGTTGCCGACTCACCCAGATCGTTTACCGGGTACCCTGTTCACGAGCAATACAGTATGGTGACGTCATCGTTCCTG